GTGATGGTCTCTCTAATGTCTTTTTAGATCTCCTAATTAGAGTCCTATAGCGCTTTGAACGTTTAATATACAGCTTTCGTTTAGTCTTTTGTGTACCTGTTTCCCCTGCTGGATTGTGAGGATCCAGTCCTCACAGGAAATACAAATTATATGCCACATTATTTAGCACTGAGATGGGGCCGCTCCTGGATGTGATCTTGGAAGTAGAAAATAGGGGAATATAGAATGAGTATGGCCTCAGAAGCTGGAGTATCAGAAGCTGCAGAATCAAAAACCGGCCATTTCGGTTACATGAAAGACCCAAAAACAGAAGGAAGTAAGATTGGAAAAGTAGGTAAGGGGTAAGATGAGGAAGGTCTTAGTGTCAAACTCAAGGATTTGGACTTGACTCTGCAGATGTTGAAAGCCAGTTAAAGACTAGCCTGATTAAAAGGTTGGGTAAGACTGTCTCTATCTAAATGTAGAATTGGTGATGACTAATTTAGCAGTATATTTTCCCCTTATTTTATTAAGATCATATAAACCTACCTTTCACTTCAAAAGAGCAATGGGTCACATTTAGGTGACACATTTCCTCCAAACACCTGGAGAACTTCAGGAAGCAGTGGGGATGATTCAGCCAGGCGACATCTTCCTGAACCATGTGACAGTTGGTATCTGGATAGAGCTCTTCTCGCCAGGCTATTAGCACTCTCTCCATAACTTCTGTTAGTGTTTGCTCAGCCTTTTCCCAGATGGAAACTAGTCAGAGGATAAGACTATCTGTGAATGAATTTTGAAAGATTTAGGGTCCCTCTGCTAAGTGTGTATCCTAAAAGCTTCTGAAGGGCCTGAACTGCCAGAAAGGCCTTATTTACTAAAAGAAAAATAGAGTAGACGTTGGTTAGTTTGATTCTTTAATTACTCATGGTTTAGAAAAAAACAAAACAAAAGTATTATGGGGTTTTATATTCCCAATACTCTAAGGTTAGCTCTACTTTTAGAATCAGAAGGGTCTTAAAAGTCTGTGGAAGTCCATTTACATTATTGTTTTAGGTATCTTATCCTAAACCACAGAGGTGTACTTTACTGTCTTTTTTTATTTTTATTTTTATTTATTTATGTTTTATTGGGGAATTGGGGGAATGGGAATGGCGCTGGGGAATTGGGGGAAGGGGAGCAGACAAGTTGCTGTCGTTTTGTTCTTCAGTCTAGTTGTGGAGGACATTGCTTCACTGGCCCAAGTTGGCACCATCATTGCGCTCTTCCCGGGCGAGGCAGATCAGTCACCGGCTTCTGGACGGCCGCTCACGCTGGCTGCTGGCTACACACGGTAGCCCATGGCAACCTACTGCCACAGGGGCTGCAGCCTACACCGTTGCCTGACTCACGGCAGCCCAGCTCCAGGTTGAGCTGTTGTTCAGCATCTTAGCTGTAGAGGGCAGTGTCACTGGCCCTCATATGTGGGATCCGAACTGGGGCCCTCTGGTGTCCCAAGCCAGTTCTTAACCATCGCGCCACTCGGCCGGCCCGGTGTACTTTACTGTCTTAACCTAACATTTCCAACTAACAAACATTTTGAGATTTCCTTTTATTATCTGTTCACATTTATAAAATTAAAATTATTATCAATCTGGCACGTACCAGCTCTGGACCCTTGTTGCTAGAGTTCTGATCCTGATTTTTCCACTTAACAGATCTTGGGCAAGTTATTTAACCCGGCTGCCTCAGTTTTCTCATCTGTAAGATGGGGATAAGCATTTACTTTTCTTTCAGGGTTTTTGTCAGAATTAAATGAATGCATTCGTTTACTAAAAGTAAAGCCCTTAGAATAGTCCCGGGAACATAAGTTCCCAATAAATATTATCTATTATATTGTAAATGAGAAAAAGTAGACAAACATTAAATGACTTACATAGTTGTCCAGCAAGATGACTAACCTAGTATTAGTGTTTCTTATTTCAAGATTTAGTTCACTGAAGTAGCTGTTTCCTAGACCAGAGGTCAGCAAACTTTTCCTTAAAGGGTCATATCAGATAATAAGTATTTTATACTTTGCAGGTCTTACTGTCTCTGTTGTAACTACTCAACTCTGTCATTGTGTCTTGCAAAAGCAGCTGTAGACAATATGTAAATGAATGGACTTGGCTGTGTTCCAATAAAACTTTATTTACAAAAACAAGTGGCAGGACCGTATTTGGCCTGCAGACAGACTCCTTCCTGATTTAGATATTTAAGTCAGAATAGAGACTTTGGATTTCATTTAGTTTTAAAGTATTAAATATGGCATTATTATAATAAACAGTAACTTCGCTTCTTAATGATTATATCTGACATGTTACTCTCAGTTACGATGGTCATTGTTTAGAATATCAAAGGGATTTAGAAAATAAGCAATAGTAATAAATGTATTTTCCATCTATACAGAAGTCCTTTATTTCATGGTTTGGAAGATTTTCTTGGAAATTGAAATCTGAGGTTTGGGTAGGATGTTAAAGGTTTGTTTTATTAAGTGAACACAAATACAGACTTTTTTGTTTTGGTTTTTGTAATTTCTGTATAGGAAAAGTTTGTGAGTCAAATAAAAAGCTCTTTGTAGTTATCCTTGTCATTACACTATGGGTTTTTCTGCTAGGAATGTTGTTTGCATGGGTTTGGATTTTTTATGGCTTATTTTTCAGTTTAATAATGTGTTCTTGTTTTTAAATTAAGCTTGTCAACGAGTCTTTGTGAGGGGCTGACTGTTGGTTAGTTCATATTTATAGCTTACGTCTGTTTCAGAGGAAATGACTAAAGTCTCTTGCATTTGATCAAAACTGTATAACAAAGGACATCTTTGAATTACTTAAACAACGCTCATGATGGAAACCCAAAAAATCTAATGGTTTATGTTTATAAATATTTTTATGTATTCAGTCCTGTTTGGGCCAGATAATTGGAGCTCTGTGCTGAGGGAGGGATGAATACACTCAGTGCCTCCTAGTTAAATGAATTCCTTTGGAGCAAGTTCAGGCAATGCTTTCTCTTAATACTCTAAAAAAATTCTTTTCTAATTTGCCATGTTGTTTTGAATTGGGTCTTACAGAGCACAGGTTTATTTTTTTCTTCTCTTTAAACTGTTCCACTGACTTTCTCTTTCCTCACTCCTATTCCAGAGGTCTGGACATATGTGAAGTACCTAACCTTGCTCATGTAATTTCCATCAAGGAGGCTGATAGGGATGGGGCAGGGCCTGGGGAAGGACTGACTCGCAGAAACCACTCTGTCTTGCTCCCTGCTGGAGCCTCTATCGGTATCCCCACATCTGGAATACCCACAGGCTCTCTCCACCCTATTCTCAATGAAGGTGTCCTACCTGCTGCTGTCTGTTCCTGGGCAGGAGACGAGGGCACTGGGTAGGAAGGAAGAGAAGGCCTGCCCCCTGCCTGCTTGGACCCAGGATGACCTGTGTTCTGGGACACAGGCCGAAACTCACATTTTCTCTTAGGGATGGTGGTTGGATTTTGGTGTGATTACTGTTCTGGATCAGCTATGTTACCACTCACTGGGATTTTCTGCACTAGCTTTTAATGTAATCACGATTTAATTTCAAGCCTTTTCTAAGCAGCTCAAGGAAACTCTTCTCCAGCTAAGGTTTGGATCAAAGTATAACACAGTTAAAGGTGAAATTGTTTTGCCTACTGACAAACATCCACTCACTCCTGCTTGCATTCTGAGAAGCACCAATGGGAGAGGGTTCCTGGACGTTCACTTTGAAAACTGCTGATTAATATAACTACTTTTGCAGCATAGGCTAATCTTAAAATCAGGCTTGCCAAATTTTTGCATCTTTGATTGCTTAAAATTTACCTGGATTGGTGTGTATGTGTGGGTTATATATGAAGCCAGCTTTACGGGAGGCTGAATAGACAGATGCGTTACCCGAACAGAGAAAGTCCTCCAGGACAGTCTCAATCCCCCATTCATGCCTGAAATTCCATCGCCAGTAATGCATTTTATTTCAGTGTTAAGCACCTGCCTCTTCTGAAACTCTTATTTATTTATTTTTAATGGAAAAGTCCTCAGAAAGGCTATCCATCAAGTTGTTGTAACTTTGGCACTGATCCTGTTGTTTCCCTACTTAATTAAGCGTCTGGGGTTACTGACTCCTCAAAGGGGCAGTTACAAGGAAGCCGCTATACTACTACTTTCATAATTTTGTCTAGGACTGGCCCTGACTATGTGGACATTTGAAAAATACATGGGAGGTACTATCTCTAGTATTTAGTTTGGAGGCACTTTGCTTTCTCATTTAGATGCAGGTGGTTATGTGTGTTATTGAAAGAGTGAGCACCTCAAAAGGAACTTTTGCTGTTCCCAAATATTCCTTCACCGCCAAACTGTGTTTTATTACTGTGATGGTGGGGATATACATATGTGCCCATATGTATATATGCTAATGGGAATTTTTTAAAGCATGTATTATTTTAAAGATAAAAGGGAATCAACCAGAAACACAGCCTAAAAAGAGTATACGTGTTTCTGTTTATTGTCTGCATGTTGTTCTTGTGGGGCACGAAAACAGTAATTTTTCTCATTTTTTTTAACCTTAACAACTTAATATTGTAAAAGTTATGGGTCATTTATTTAGTCAACAAATATTCATAGAGTAAATAACTAACATGTGCCAGGTACTTTGTGCTATAAAAATGAACGATGGTGGTTTCAGCAGAAATTTAGGCTTTAAGGAATATTTGAGGTTGTCCATTAATTGAGGAAGTAAGGATTATGAGAGGGGAGGGTGTGCTGGATGGGGGAAGGAAGGGGGAGGAAGAAACAAAGGAAGGATTCATGGACGGAAGTTAGTCAGTTAAATCTATTTGTTGGTCCTTAACACATTTTCTTGTTTTTAATTACACATGTTATCTAGTTTGCTGTTTTTTGCTTATATAATTTACCATCTGTAGCTTTAATTATTTTCTGGTGTACTGTAATTTGAAATTGGTTTTAATCTATCTTTTCTATATTTGTTTCTTTTTCAGTATTAAAGAACTTTATGGATCAGTTTGCTAATAAGTACGTGCAGAATTTGAAGAGCTGAAGAAGAAACTCGGTATTAAACCTGTGGTTTTTTTTTTTTTTAATGTAAGTAAACTCACTCCTCATCATTGTTCATTTCTGACATCTTGAAAGCCTGCAATTACCTTTCTGTATACTCAGTGTGTAATTTTTTTCCCAGTAGTAAAGTTACTTGACTATGTCAGTCTACTCATTATATCTTTGAGAATTTGTGACTCACCCCCTCTTTAAAAGGTTTTTTAACTCTAAAAGTAATATAACATAGATAGCTGTAGAATTTAGGCCTGTTGTGACAGTCAATGAGCAAATCTTTTTTTGGCGCTGAGAAGGAAAACACAGACCTGCTAGCACATTAAAAAGCACTGTGTTCTCTAGCCCACAGACCATTTCAGTGTCCCATCTAAGCCAGTGAGAATCACTGGTTGACCCATTCATGACCCTATATAGCCTTAGAAAATGAGGTGATTTTGTATAAGCTTATTTACTCCTTTGCTCCCTGTTTCTCTTGCTCAGTAGTATTTAATGTTATTTATTGAGACTGTACTAAGTGACAAGCACTGACTAATTCAATTCAATATTGATTCAACAACTACTTTTTCTGAGTGCTTGCCATGTGCTAGGTACTGCTCTGACACTATTACCTTATCCCCCTGGCAGTCTTGCAGAGTAGGAGGTAATATTTCAGTGATCTAGATGAGAATACCGAGATTCAGAGAGCGGTAAGGAGCGTGCTACAATGGACACACAGCTAGTAAGTGGTAGAACCTGGGGTGTGAACACAGCGCTGTCCGGTTTTCTGATTTGCAATATCCTAAATAGTGCTTAAAGCTTTTCCTAGTGCAGCTGTTGGTAGGAGATTGGAGTCTTCTGGGTTGTTTTATTAATAAGAATGTGATCCTGATCCTAATCCTTGGCTGTAGTCACAATGAAGAAGGAAGTTAGAGAAACATCCTCCCATGTTTAAGTGGAAGCTTTGCTACCTGGATGGGAAGTTAACAGATCTAATGTCCAGTCCCAGCCTTTCCTTGGATTTCCTGTGTATCTTTGACACATTTAACCTCCATGGGAAACAATTACTCTTATGCCAACTAAGGAGAGCAGATCAGATGTTCTCCAGGGTCTCTTTTGAAGTATCTTATACGTAGAGGAAGGAGCACAAGTCATAAGTGGATGGCTGGATGGAATCATTATCACAAAGTAGACACAAAGTGTAATAGCACCCGGATTAACAGAAAATTACCAGCACCCAGAGCCCTCCTCTCCTAATGCTCCCAGGAGCCATCGATTTCCTGATTTCTAATGCCATTGATTAGATTTGCCTATTTTTTAAGTTCATGGAAATATAACCATACAGTATATATTCTTTTGTGTCTGGCTTAATTTTCCTTATTATTTGTGGCATATTTTTTTTAAATTTTCATTGCTATTATGTTATTTAATTATCTGTTTTACAGTTGCTGAACATTTAGGCAGCTTTTTAGTTTGGGTGGATTACAACTAGTGCTCTAATGAGTGTTTTTTGTGCATACCTTTTGGTGATGACTGTATTTTGTGTGTTCAGGGACCACTCAGTAATTTAGATTCTGCAGCTCTGGAGTGATGTTGAAGTAAACATCTCTGAAAGCAGACAAATTGATTTGAGGTAGTCTCTTGGGCATGTGGCCAGGTAGAAGCCCTCCCTGATACGTATGTGAAGTGGTAAGGCTTGCTTCCCTGGCAGAGAATGGCTTTGGTTGGATGCAGGAAGGGATTACAGAGAGGAAGAGAAAATAGATCCAGAAGAGAGAGGTGTCTGGGCTCCTCTAGAAATGATTAGGATATCTCACCAACCAGAGAAAGAGGCTGGAAAAGTGACAACCCAGGGGAAGAATCAGCCTATGAGACCTGAAGAGTCTAGGAAGATGAATAGAGAAATAAAAATTGATCCGAGCAGGCAGGCTGGATCTCAGAAGGAGCTCTCAAAGCATTTTCTGAACAAACCTATTCAGTTTAATTTTTGTTTTAAGGATGTTTTAAAAAATCAGTCCCTAAAGTATGAGTCTTGAAGCCAAAGAATGATCTTAATTAATACAATTGCTAAACTAGGAAAAAATGTATTTTTTGAACAAATATGGATCTGACCAAAGTGTGAGACCGTTCTGCATTCAAATCACTGCTCCACCATGTTTTCCCATGATCCTCCTGGGTCAACTTCCTCATTCTTAAAATGGGACTATTAATATGCCCACCTTATAGGCTTGCTATGGAGATTTACTGCAGTAGGGTCAGCCGTGTGCTTTTGGGCACATTGCACTGGCACTAAACAGAGCCATTATTCTTATTAGTTTTCTGATCTTATTGATATCACCTGTTTGACTCTGTATCTGATACTTTACAAGAATTTTCAGATCGTTTCTTAAAAATATGAGATAAACTTAGTTTCTTTTTTCAGTATGGTGGGAAGTTTCTTTTTTCAGTATGGTGGGAACACTTAACAAAAGTATTTCCCCGTGTGCCTCACCTAAAGCTAAAACTCAGAGAAAAGATGAAGGACACAGTTGTCCATGTGTCCTTGGCATGTCCCTCCCCTGAGTGAGTCACTGAAGCCATTCCTGGTTGTTGGATCTGCTTTACTTGGTCAGTTCAAGAAGAGGCTCGTGGAGCTGAAGTTCATGAGAAAGCTGGGTCATTGTGCACAAAGGAAAATGGTAATTTCATATGTTGCACTCTCAACTCTTGCCAGGCATTTGCAGAGAAGTGTCCTTATTTTTCAGGGGGCTTTGGGGAGAGGCTGTGTGGGTGATTCACTACAGACCACAGCTATCATAGGGTGTGCGTTCCAACTGGCTGTGGTTGGTGACATCTTTCCACCTGTTAGTGAATTCTGGACTAGCTGTTGGGCTTATGGTGTAAATTAAGCTTGATTTTACCCTTGGTGAGATTTTGATCTAACAAGTGAATAGTGTTGTATTCGTTCTACAAAGGAAACTTTGAGAGGGACTTGAGTCAAAAAGAACATTTGACCCACGACTCTGAAATGCTAGTTCTGACTGACTAGCCGTGGAACTTCAGGTATGTCATTCATCCTGGGTCTCAGTTTCCTCATCTGTAAAATCAGGAAGTTAGTTTACATTGGGACTTTGAGGCAGAGGAGGAGTCTACGAATCCTCTAAATGTAATACCTAGTTTTGTGTGTATTTTTCTAAACGTTAGACTCTTTCTCAAGTTATGTTCCAAGTCAAAAGTTTTTATGACAGCAGATTTTGATACTTACGATAGTGGGGGAAGGAGTACTTTTAAGATATGACCACAGTTAACAGAATAATTAATGTCCACAGCATGAAAGAAACCAAATGACCAGACTGTTGTGACTGATATAAGGCTATGTGACCAGTATATATAAATTCCTTTTCACACCAACATTTACTTAACCAGCTCTAATGCACTTGCTCTATTCATTAAAGGGTGTGTATGTTATATAAACTACATAGATAAATATACAAGACATTGCGTATAAATATATGACAGCTGGATTATGAAAGCTGTGTTTGGCCTTATCTCATGTCTCTACTGAAATTCTCAGTTCCCACATTGCAGTCAATTGGGACAAGTTGGGAGTGTCCCAAATAAAATTTGAGTTTGTTTTATCATTCTAGATGTTGAAGAGATATTTGTTACAATGCAATATTTAAAAACAACCGTTGAAATTAAGTATTGGATTACGTAGAATTAACAGGAGTAAATATTAAATAGTGTTATCACTTAAAAATTAACTTTTAAGTTCTAACCTTTAGCCTCTTATACTTCAGGCTATCTGCCTGAAGCTGATGCAGGAAGACATATAGGAAAGAATTAAAGTAAACTACAAACTTTGGAATATTTGTACTTCCAGTCATTTAGATGTTCTGGTAATTCGCAAATAGAAAAAATATCATTTGAGTCTGAGTAAAGGCAACACCCAAATTTCTCCAGTGTGCTCTTGGTTCTTGAGATCACGGATGACGGTTGTGCAAGCTGCCTGCCCATATACCTTTGAAGCTGAAGGGACGCGGGCACAAGAAAGAGGTGGGGCCTCTTATCTGGTTTCCTTACTGCTTTCTCGTCATGAGGCCGTGGGATTGTGCAGGGCATTACTCAGGTGTGCCTACATATCACTCCGCCTGGACATGTGGTGGTTTCTAAGCTGGCAGTTCATAGCTCCTGGGTAATGTCATCCCCAAGTAACAGCATCCACCACAGCTCTGTCCTCGTGCGCCCTTTTCTCCACACCCTTCTTGCAGCTTTTATTACTTGAAGTTTCCTTTGGATATTGAAGTGTTTTACTCTTGGCTGCCTTTTTGTGGACCAAGCGTTCTGTATTCCAGGCAATTCGTGCTAAAAATTCTGAAAAGACTCCTTGGGGATGGCCATCTTACTTGGAATCGTGTGTCCCATAGGTGGTTTGTCTTCTGCTTCATTGGTTCATTATAACTTGAGACGATACATAAATGAATTTTTTTTTCATCATGAACCTTACATAAGATTTTCCTTTGCATTTTTTTCCCCCTCTCGTAATCCTTCCCTCTCCTACCAGATAACCTGGGATCATCTTTACAATCAAATGGAGATGTCGTTGGGCTTTTAGAGCCATTCCTTCGAGAGCGAGAGCTGGCGCTTCTTTTGTGTGTGAGGGTGTGGGTGGAATATGAGGGCTGCTGAAGCAACTTGCTCCTCTCGCCAAAGCCACAGACGTCTTTATTCTTGGTTGCTTTGTTTCCTCCGCACCTGTTAGGAAATGGGCAGTCAGTGACTTTAATTTTTTTCCCCTTCTTAATACAGACATGCAAGTGTGTAACAGAGAGAGAAAAGAAATGTTTACACATTTAGCAAATAAATAATCAAAACATGGTGTGTGTGTGTGTGTGTGTGTGTGTGTGTGTGTGTGTGTGTGTAGCACGCACGCTAGCTCTATAACTGTACAGGTGGTGTGTTTTTCTCTCAAGTTGCCATGTGTTTATACCTTTAGTTAGGCTTTAGCATCTCTGTTAGCTTTTAGTTACGTAATCTCAGCAGTTTTTTAAGAATGAGGAAGAGGGTTCAAGAGAGTCTCCCTTAGTGGATCTGTGGTTTAATATTATGATATGTTGGGGGAAACCGAGGTTCTGGAAACAGAATTTCAATTAGCCAAGGGTCACCATTTCTTCAGTAGTGAAGAACTGGGAGAAGGGATTTCAATAGTTCTTAGATCCATGATTTAGCAGTAGCTCAAGGCTTTGTATATCATAATCAAAGAAATGAGGTTGGGACCCCAGGGCTGTTTCAACCAAGAGGAAACTTAAATTAGAGGTGTGGCAATTTACAGCCCTTGTAGCAGGATTCATTTAGTCTTTAAGCAAAAAAAATAATATATGTTATCTCTTGAGGATTTATGGTAGCTTTCAGAGCTTGAACTAGCCTTGACAGCTTCCTGTGACCATTACCTTGAACTGAGGTGTCACCCTTCGCCAATGACTGACTCCGAAGTATAGTACAATAATTGTATGTCTTCCGTGTTTCAGTTTGCATTTCAAAATACAAGTTGTTATTGTATCATTCGCTTTTCTTGTTTGTATGTTTGTTTTTAATTTATTCCTTTACCTTCGTGGTAGTAGTTATGTGCTTGGCTTTAGATACATAGGCCATGTGATACTGTGATATTAAGAGATTTTAGAAGAAAAGGTCATCAGCTGTCTTTCTGGGCTATTCTGGGCGTTTTGCACTATATTTATTTTGGATCCCGCTTTTCTTGCCCTTGATTTCTGATTAAATGCTCCTTCTTGCTTTGGCCTCTCATCTTGCTTGGAAGCTTTTCAATGGATTTGTAATTGGATGCCCGTTTTGTTCAACAAATAAGCACCATCTGAATCTAGGGAGGGAGTCAAGAAGACACTGGATGGAACTCGCCATTAATGCTGCTGGTTCTAGTGTGTGGAATTCCTGGAGCATGGGAGCCGGCTTCTAGCGCTCATACACTGATGTTGGGAGGTGCTTCCTCCTTGAGAAAGTTAGCTTTTACAAAGGGAAACTTGTGTCCTGAGATCCTCAGAAGTTTAGGATGTGATCTGGTGGGATTTAAATGGTCTTGTTGTTTATACATTTTTAGAAATTAAGGAGTGGATCATTTGCTTAGAAAGTTGGCTTTTTGACTTTGGGGTCTACATTGGTCTTGCCTGAAGCCTGGCACATAGCACATCTTGCAGAGGCCTTGCACCCAGATTGGGCTTCCTGTGTTGGTGGGCTCGTTAAAAACCAAGTATCAGGCAGGAAATAAGTGGCCCCCAAGGAGCAGCAGAGCTTCTGGCAAAAGGCCTGTCCCAGGAGACAGCAGCAACAGCCCAAAACACCCATTTGCATTGACTCACAGCACCCCTTGACCTGCTGACCTTTTCTCTTTCTTCCCCTTGTTAGGCAGCAGGTCATCAAGCACTTCTTGGTGAAACTGTATCTGAGTGATTCCAGAGGGACAGAAAACACTGGCTAATTCTACTGAAGCAGCCGCAGGATCCAGAAAGTGATTTCCGCTTCCTCACTTTGTGGCCCTCCTTGAATCAATCCTCAGAAGGTAGAGCTGAAAAAAAATCAGTGTGTTACGGCTTAGTCTTTGCACTCTTTAACTGATATAATATATTGGGTCATTGGGAAAGTCATGATGCCTTTTTGCATTGAGAAACATAGAAAAATACGTCACGACTTTCCCGACGACCCAATAGTTGATTCTTGTTATTTTGTCGTAGTTATATCCTCTAAAGTCTCGGTGAATGCTGAATTAGTGAATATTGAACCATTGCTCCTGGAGGATACAGGTTTAGGTTCCTGGGAACCCCTGTCACAACATTGTCTCCGCTGAATACATAACCTTGTTTCTGTTGAAAGGCACCTTATTTAATATTGTCGATTCATTAACATTGAACTCAGGATCACAGCAATGTAACTCATGCCTGATCAAGGCTTACCTAACACAGGCATTTTCTCTGCAAGGCTCATCACGGCCTCCTTGCACTTAGGAACACCAGACAGCACTTCAGCCATAGGCTTGGGGGCCATTTTAAACACTGAAATCAACAACAAAAAGCACACAAATGTGGCCTGGAATAGAAAGCAATATACTCATATAGCATGAGAGCTGAGCTGAAACTAGAAGGCACAGCATCACCTTGTTGGGCCTCTGCTGGGACCGTCCTCACAAGCAACTCAATTTTTTTTGCTACTCTGTGCATGTCCATGAATGACCGTGAAAGCACCTCTAGTATTGATTTTAGGGTGATGAATAAATTTTAGTGAGTGAGCAGGCTCACAAATACCTATTGTATAATGTATGCAAAGTAATCCCAATCATTGTAGCAGGAACCCCCTCAGCCCAGCTCTATAGTGCATGTAGCAAACTAATCATTTAAGGTAAAAATTAGTTACCACATTTTTACACAGCCTCATGTAAGATGGATATTGTCAAGGAGAATTCGTCCAATTGGAAATCTCTGTTGCGAACACATGACAGTTAACACTCTTGCCAGGATTAGAACATCTAGAGAATAGGAACAATATCTTGTGTATCCCCATGGCCTTGGCACGAAGGATTATAATGGCCAGCACATAGTGGGATCTCAGTGAGTAAATGAACACTAAATAAATGAAGGAAGGAAAGAGGAAGGAGAAATCTCTTCGTCGATGCCCTTCTGTCCGTTTCAGGGCACCTTCGAAGCCTGATGCACCTTTTCAGCTTAGGTCATTTCCTGTCCACCGTATTCACTAAACTAACTCATGTAAATGCTTACTCATTGTCCAAAACAGTAATGGAACTGGTGCAGCCTTGGAGGGCATCAGAGCTGGGCCTGAGAATGGAACAGGGGTATCACCAACCATATTGAGAAAACTACTTAAGGGCTAGAACTGCATTTGACTCTCTCTTCCATCTTGCCTGGGAGCCAGGTTGGAAGTTTCTTTTTTTTTCTCTGATATTTCTGCTACCAACTTCTCTCTACTTCAGGACCACTCCCACATTGCTGTTATTGAAAGCATCTCTCTAGAACACAGATTGGATCATCTCGGTCTCTTGCCTCAAAAACTCCATTCTTCCCATAAGATAGAATTCAAAACTCCTGAGCGATCCCTCTGCCTCCTTCTGCTTCAGACTGAAGTACACTCTCTGCTTAAGCTAAACTGGACTTCTCATTGTTTTCCAAGCATGGCCTGTAGGACTTCTGGCCTTGGCATAGGCTGTTCCCTTAGCATAGGCTGTTCCCTCTGCCAGCCTGCTCCCTCCCCCAGGTCTTCCTTTCAGCTCTAGTTCAAATTACAGTCTCTGTGTTGTTTCTGGTGAGATGCCCATGTCCCCCACAAGTATGAGCCCTTCAAGGGGAGGGCCTGTTATTTCTCATCTTTGGGCACAGCCTCTAGTGTGTTAATGTTCAGTATATGTCTATGAATCAGTGAATGAATCTAAACATTATCTGGACGATGTAGAAATGTGAAGGCTTTTAAAAATTCTTTTAAATAAAGAGAATAGACTCTCAGTTTCTGAGTATAGACAAGTAGAAAGATGTGGCTGTTCTTTTGTTAATTAGCTTAGTCTGTTGTATAAAACTCAGCTTTTCCATCCAGGGAACATCTACGCGGTGCCACGCTCCCTGGCCCACAATATAAACATCCAGGGACTAGACTTAATTAAAGCAGAAGCTAGTTAAATTTTATATGAGAGGAAATTCAGTTTCAGATATTATCTATTTAATTATTTCCTGCAGGTTAACCATTTATTTCACCAAATATTTATCATGGAGCTTCTGTGCCAGGGGCTTTGGAGCCTAAAAGATAAGCAGGACACAGGAGCTTTTGTCTAGTAGGAGAGAAAGACATGGAAGCACATTTCTATAAAACAGGATAAAATATGTACTTACTGCAGTTAGAGCTATGGTAGCACAAAGGAAGGTGAGATGATTTCCAGCCTGCTCAGTTCTATACAAGTGCTTGAATTTGACCTGAGACTTGAAGGGTCTTTTGGGAGTAGGTAGGTAGCAGGGCAAACTGAAGGAGTAACATGGTTAGGGCAGTTCCAAGGAGAGGGAACAGTATAAGCAAAGGCACTGAGGCAGGAAAGTATAGGAAGCAACAACAGGGACAAGTACTGCAAAGAGGGTGAGGGTCCAGTGGGGAGCACTGCAAAATAAGACGGGACAAGTACATCAGGATCCTATTATAGAGAGATTTGATGGCAGGTTGCTTGGACTTAATTCTGTAGTCACTGGGAGCCATGGCAGATTTTTAGAACAAGGAAGTACATGATCAGCCACTAGCAGCAGCTAAAATTTGTAAGTGCTCACCAATGTGCCAAGCACTTTTACTAAATCCTCACCACAACACTTTGAGATTAGTACTATTAGTATAACATTTTATAGATAAAATGGAAAGCCCAGTGAGGTTAAGTAACTTCCCCAGGATCCAGAGCAAATCAGTGGACCTTGGATTTGAAACCAGGAAGTCGTCTTCAAGAACTTGGATTTTGAACCTAGGATTGAAGAGAGGATTCAGGGAGACTCTGAATTTTATGAATTGGTTGCAAAGTGTTTACTGTATACGAGTATGAATGTGTACATTGGTTTAAGAAAAAATCTATAGCTTTAATCAGGTAAGAAGTCTGTACCAAAAAAGGTTAATAAAGACTGTGGTATCACCGTCTTCCAGTATGTTCAGTGCAATGCGTGGTGACCATACTGATGCTGCTTCTTAGGGTGCAAGAGGCAGAACGATCTAGCATCACTCAAAAAGAAATGTCAAAACAACTTGCAGGAATTAGTATTATAAGTAGCAAGCTGTTCCTGATTTGTGAGAAACAGAGAAAATGAGAAATTGTTTTGAAGGTAAACATGAGACAGCCAGGCCTTGAAACTTACGATAATTTGAGGACAGAGAGCCTAGTTTCTCTCTCCACTGGGCAAAAATTATTCTTTTAAATTTCACCAGAAGCTAAATAAATTCCTGAAATCTGAAATGCTTTTGAAAAATGTCTAGATAATAATCTGCTTTCAACTGGACCAACTTGTCTTTTTACAGTTAGAGGGACTTAAGGGGTGAATACTTGGTAACCTATGAGACTGAAAATTTCTTGCAGCCGGTGGTGAATCGAAAGGCTGGTGCCAGGATGAATGAATGAATGCGGATTAAGAATTGCCCAGGTTATGTCGTTTGAGGAATCAAAATAGTATTCAAGTTTTGTTTAGAGTAAAAATTTTCATGTTTTAAATATGTACATCTTTAAGATAGTTCTATCACAAGTTACAGCAAATATACTTTATTTTAATGGTAGAGTTCTGAATTTCTTGCTTACCGGAGTGTTTCTTAATATTGTTCTCGTCTTTGCTGTCTCATTTTCTATCTATTTTATATTTTTTTCCAGTACCATTTGAAAATAGCTCACGTATAATCCATAGCCAGATCTTTCCAACTGTTAAAAAATCTTTTATTATAGCTTTGTAAATTTGATCAAGGATTCAGTCAAGGATTATAAATAGTTATTGGTTGTCATGTCTCTTTAGTTTCTTTTATGAACTGTCTTATCTCTCTGCCTTTTTTTTTTGTAGTTTATGAAGTTAACATGTTTGAAAAGTCTAAGACCATTCTTTCTGGGAGTATTCATCTGACTTGGTTTCCTAATGATTAGATTCAGGTTAAACATTGCTAGCTAGAATATACTGCTTCCCTTCAGAAGGTACATATGACGGTGGTTAGGCTATATTTATCACTTAAGTTGGTGCTCACTGGACCTCTCCATTGTAAAGGTACCTGATCTCTTCGGTAACTGAGAAGTAATCTGTGGGGCGATTCTTGGAGACTGTATGCATATCTTGTTCTCCATCAGTCAGTTATTCACCCAATGGTTTTAACATTCATTTTTATTCCTAATGTGAATCAGCTATTATGCTGGCTGTTGCAATATAGTGCTCACTGAATTTTTTAAGTCACTTTATTGGAGAAAAATTCTCCTTTTTATCCCCATCTCTGTTTGGGGAAAAACAAATCTAGGCCCCAATGACAGATGGCAGAGGAGTAGATGAAGGTGAAAGTAAAAAACAACTATCCAAACATATGTTAATATTTAAAATGGGTGAAGTGTTTTCTTTTACCTTGTGAGTGGATATATAGTCAAGTTCTGAGACAGTTTTGGGAATTTTGCACTTAAAATAATGTTTACTGATGTAGATGAGGAAAAACAAATTGCCATTCTTACTTCCTTCTACACCAAGAGAATTCAATAATAACGAGATGAATTTTCCCTCAACTGCCACAATCTGAAAAGATATTTGATGTTTGCCCTTCCATTTGCAAATGACACAGAAGTAGTTCTTTGTAAGGCATGTTAGATTGATACCGAATGGGCTTCAAAAGCATGGAATTCTTTTGAAAGGTGGGATAGTAAACAGAAATTGTTTAGTAGGGGGATTTCTTCATCTAGGTGTATAAACCTTTTGGAAATTTATCCTAAGGCTTTTTTATACCTACCTTGCTTCTGACTGGCTCACTAAGTGACTCCGCGTTATCTGATGAATATCTTATTTCACTTTTGAAAGCAGTGTGTTCTTTTTGTTGGGGTATTAGGGAGCAGCAGGAAAAAGGTTGACTTCAGGCAGGGCAATAAAAAACCCACCCATTCATCTTGAATTTAGAGAGTATCCTGCATGCAAAATAACTTCTCTCACTTGCCATTCATAATGAAAAGATGTTTATTTATTTATTTATTTTTTAAGATTTTATTGGGGAGTTGGGGAGGGGAACAGTGTTAAGGAATTGGGGAAGGGGAACATTGTGTTTTTCCAGGACCCATCAGCTCCAAGTCAAGTTGTTGTCCTTCAATCTTAGTTGTGGAGGGCGCAAGCTCAGCTCCAAGTCCAGTCTCTGCTTTCAGTCTAGTTGCTGGGAGTGGGAGGGGGTGTTGGGCACAGTCCACCATCCCATGTGGGAATCAAACTAGCAGCCTGGTTGTTAAGAGCACGTGCTCTCACCAGCTGAGCCATGCGGCCGTCCGTTGGCAGCTCAGCTCGGGCGCAGCTCACTGGCCCATGTGGGAATCGAACTGGCAACCCTGTTGCTCAGAGCTTGTGTTCTAACCAACTGAGCCACCCGACTGGCCCCCAAAAAGATGTTTATTTTTGAAGCACTTAGCTATTCATCCTACCTAAACAAAACAGTTCTTACATATTGGAATAAGGACCTTGCCAGGCAGTCTTCATTTATAATTTGCTTAATTTTCCTTTGCATTGTTTTTTTTTTGTTTTGTTTTGTTTTTGTTTTTTAAGCCGAGCCATCCTGCCACCTGTTTGTTGGCAGCTCAGCTGCTGCTCAGCTCGGGCCGGGACTCGAACCGCTGTTGCTCAGAGCTCAAACTCTTGAGCGAGCTCTTAACCAACTGAGCCACTCAGCCGGCCCCTCCTTTGCATTGTTTGTAAGAGGATTTTGGACACTATTTTGTGACAGGTAGACCTGGACCTGTGCACCCTCTGGATCCATACATTTTCACATTGTATCCTTTAAGTCTGGAAAAATGATTTGCCTCTTTTGTTGGCATGGTACATTAATACACTGTTTTCTCTTTGGGATCCTGCTGAGTAAGAAATAGGCGTGGCATGGGGTCGTCTCTAAAATTTACGTTAGACTATTCCAGTCTGTGTTTGGAGAGAACTGAATATTCCCTACATTTACTTGATACGTTTTTATACTGTATTTCTGGCTTATATTACGGCGTTGTTATAGATTTTAGAAGATGACTATTTAAGGCAATACCTCCCTGATCGAGAAGCTGAGCTTTATGGTTTTCAACGTTGAGCAGTTCACTTGAAGATGTTAGTTTTGATTCTTGAGACAGTGGATCCCCAAACTTACTGGTTAATTAGATTAGCACGTGCCTGGTGAGTACAATACTTCTACAAGAGGCTTGAGGTTACAGCAGAGCTAGTATCTATGACCACCACCAGTTTGCTCTCAGTCCTTTTTTAAAATTATTATTATTAAAATTTATTGGGGGTGGCAGTAGTCAACAAAACTACGTAAGTTTCAAGTGTGCTATTCATCATCTACATATATCACCTATATAATGCAATATGTGTTCACCACCAGAGTCAGTTCTCCTTCCATTACCATATATTTGACCCCTTTACCCACTTCTACCCCCCCCCCCCCCCCCCCCCGTTCTCAGTCCTTTTGATGTGTTAGTGGGCCTCCCCCAGCCCCAGTCCCATGTATGTGACACAAAGAGAACCTAGTCGTCGTTGGCATGCATATTACAGTATGTTTGACACCATAACGAATGAGGAAGTACTGAAATACGCAGATTACCTGTTTTTAAACATTTGACTTGCTTTCTGAAATGTAGCATGACAACTCCAAGGGATATTTATATTTAGAATGCTAGTTCTTTACAAAGAATATTTATTGTAAGGTTTGTAAAGTACATTGCTTGAATCTTAGAGGTAGGTTCATACCTGTCAAGCAGGTTTATACAGCACTGAAAAATAAACATAAGTATGTCAGAAATCTTACTAATGAACAAAGCTTGTTATTTACTGTGGGCGGTCTTTTAAAATAGTTCATTTTAGTTGAGATTTTCTTTGCGCTTGACATAATTACTAGACAAAGAATTAAAATAACAGTAAAACTCTGGTTGCAAATGACATGTTAGTAGGAGATGTCATTTTTTTTTTAGGCATCTCTTTTTTTTTTTAAAGATTTTTTTTTTATTGGGGAATTGGGGGGATGCGAACAGTGCTGGGGAATTGGGGAAAGGGGAACAGACAAGTTGCTGTCGTTTTTTTGTTCTTCAGTCTAGTTGTGGAGGACGTTGCTTCACTGGCCCAAGTTGGCACCATCATTGCGCTCTTCTCTGGCGAGGCAGATCAGTCGCCGGCTTCTGGACGGCCGCTCACTGCGGCTGCTGGCCGCTCACGCTGGCTGCTGGCCACACACGGTAGCCCATGGCAATCCACTGTTTTAGGCATCTCTTAATGTCTAGTCTAAAGCACCATTAAGGCTCCATGTATATTTGTTCAATCAAAATTTCAAATTAGCTGCTACATTCCTCTGGTCTTAGGTTTCTCAGTCTGTAGGTCACCATCTCGCTTGACCTTTCACAGGTTGCCATTTTGTCTTCTTCCTGTCCCCCCCCCCTTCTGACTTCAAGCAGTTGTATTTAAGTTTTTTAAAAACAATTATATAAGGAAAAAAATTCAGAAAAATTGGATATAGTCAAATCATTTAAAAAAGCATACAGATGTTACGATTTCATTCTTCTTTATGGCGGAGTAATACTCCATTGTATAAATGTACCACAATTTCTTAATCCAGTCGTCTACGTGGGGGTGCAGTTGAGGGCTGTTGGTTGGGGGGGTGGGGATGAGGGAGAGAGGGAGGGGGCTGGATAGCATAAGTATGCAGCTGCAGTGTTGCCATGGGGACATGGGGGACAGTTCGAGGAATGTAATTGATAATGTTGTGAATATTTTGTAGGGTGTCAGGTGGTCACATGTCTTGCATCATGGATGGGGAAGAAGCTTGATCACTTCACTGTACACCTGAAGCTGATGTTGTATAATATTGTATATCAACTATAATTGAATATGTGTGTGTGTGTGTGTGTGTGTGTGTATATATATATATATATATATACATATATATATATATACATAGTCATGGGACGTGGAGTATAGTGTGGGAGTGGAGTCAAGGGATTTGTAATAGATATGTATGATATTGGGAAATGGGGTGGCGGATTGGGGGAGAGAGGTTGTCACTTCGAGGGGTAAAAAGTATAACTATTGCACTGTGTTGTACAGCTGAAACTAATTCTAAAAAATGTGTATTTCATAATAAAAAATAACTTAATTAAAAAAAAACATAAAAAGCATACAGAGACAGAGACCACTGTGTACCAGAGATTGTATTAGGATCTTACTGTAAAAAGGAACTAAGACTTGGTGCTTGCCCTCAAGAGGTCAGAGTCTAGCGTGGGTAAAATAGTCATGTGAAGATAGCTGAAATGTGCAAGTCATGGTGTGAAGGTGGCAGGGCGGGCACCGGGGGACAGTTTAAGGAAGGGCATAGTCATCTTTACCTGGAAGGATCAGCCTTGGCCTCATATTAACCCTAGAGTGCAATCTTTAAGAATGAGTTCCCCAGGAATGGAGTCAATGGAATTGTAATAGATATGTATGACATCGGGGGTGGGGGCAGTGAGTGGGGGGGGAGGGTTGTCACTTTGTGAGGGGTGAAAAGCATAACTATTGCATTGTTTGTACACCAGAAACTAATAATAATAAAAGATATACTTTTAAGAAATAAAAGCAAAGTACAAAAAATAAAATAAAAATTAAAAAACAACAACGAAGAATGAGTTCCCAGGCAGTGGGGAGACCTGAGAGGGCAGGTGGTGGGGGTGGGATTCTCCAGGGAATGGAGAGGGTAACCCCTGTGTTTTGCATATTGGTCCTTAGAGGAGCACGCGTCCTGCTGGGGAATTTGTATAGATTCAAAGAAGACCTGGGAGAAGAAGTGAGGAAGGCATTGTGAGTGTTGCTAGATGTGGTGGATGTGCCACCTCTTGGGAAGGCAGTGCAGAGGGTGGGCCTGGAAGGAAGTGAGGGAACATCATGAAACAGGTGTGATAATGAGACTCAAAGTCTTGGTGGAGTCAAAGAGTGGGTGAAGGTGGAGGAGCAGTGAGCTAGTTGAATGGGGAGATGTTCTCAGAAAGGTAGGTCAAGTGAGGAGTCTGGCTGTGAAGAGTCTCAGAATGTGACCGTGAGCATATACAGCTAAGAAGTCCCTCTTTTTTGATCTCTTCCCCCTCATTGTACCGTCTTTTCTTGGGCAGTATCATCTCCACTGTCTTCCATGTAACCAGCCAAAGTTGTACACCTTCATTCCACCCTAGTTTATCCAGTGGCTTCGAGTCTTTCACTTTAACCACATTTGTAACTCAAGGAGACGTGTATATGAAACCATTTACAATCATCCTTTTCATGTTGAATTGATTATTCTTTAGTATCCAGCGTATACCTCACAAGACAATTCTTCCCCATTTATAGTCATATGTTTATACGGCTTTATCTCTTAACTAATAAGCCACATGACCCCAAAGATTCAGTTTTATTTTTGGTAAGTCAGAAAAGTACCTGGCACTCCTATGTGCTAAATAGTTGTGGAAAGAAGCACAGAAGAGAAGAAGGAAGGGGATGAGAGTATTGGAATTGAGGGAGGGAAGGAATTTGAGACTAAAGAATCATATGCTTTACCGCATGAACTCTGAAGGTTACACAGGATGGTAGCAAAAGCTGAAGAAGGAGAGCCCTTAAGTACCTGTGGGTGAAGGAGGAGGATGGTGGTGGTGCTGGGAGGTGAGTTAATAAGAGGGAGAGTTCAGGGCAAGAAGGCAAGCACATACAGCCTTCTTCAAAGAAGCTGACATTTAGAATAAAGCTTAATAACAATTACAAAGGAATTTCAGAAGGTGCCTTGGGGAATGGACTGGTACAGGACTTGGTTGAGTCAAGATCTAAAACCCATAACTTTTGGTAAATATTGCTTCTATGTGGGAAACATTTCAATGAGAATTGACTCTTAAACTCTCACTCTTGGATGTCCCTTGGGTCAAGGCTTCTGGGTAGTGTTATAGCAGCAACAATAGTAATATTTATGAAGTGCTTGTATTATCTCATTAATCATGACAGCAACCCTATGAGGTGTATTATTATCTTTCTCATCTCATGAATGAGGAAAGTTAAGCTTAGCGTGGTTAAGTAGCATTCCCAATCCTCACATTCCTCCGAAGTGGGCCACTTATTTTATAGCCAAGGCAACACATGCTAGAACTAGTCAGGCCCCCCAGGAACATCAGAACTGCTGAAACTTGGCCAATTGAAACACTTCCTGAGTGACTCAGTACCCGCTGCCACTTGCTTGAGCCCCGGAAGTTCAACCAAAACCATACTGCCAAGGAAGGAATGTGATGGGTTGTGCTACTGCCTTCTGAAAATGGGTATTTGGGTTGATGACAAAATAGGGTAAAATACAACAAAAAGGGGAGAGAGGAGAGAAAAAGAACACCTTCCTGTTATGTGTGAAAATTCCCAGAGATAACATATATCCTTTCAGCCCAAGTCAGGATGGTGAGCTGGAAGAGGAAGATGTGGATAACAAGACTGTGTGTTTTGTTTATTGGAAAAAAATGAACTCACGGGGATTGTAGAACAGGGGCTATCAGAAAGTTACAAATTCTGGCGGTACAGGGGGTCCTAATTCGAGGGATTCTTGAGGTTGGATTCTTTTGCTTCTGGGAAAGAGTCTTTTCTTGTGTGTCAGCTGATGGGTGGCCTTCTCAGAGAGCTGCCTTCCCCCAAAGGAGGAGAGGACGTGCAGCCTCAGCCAGTGGAAGACCCACCTGATGTTCAGACAGGAGAGGGCTTGTGTGCTGGAATGCGCGTCCTCCTCCTCTGGAGGATCTGATGAGACTGACGAGGTCTCTGTAGTGCTTGTCCTTTGGCTGCCAGGTGCCTGGCTTATCGTCTGCCAAGAAAATGAATGATGAGTTAGATATGTGTAGTGTAGCCTGGACAACATGGGATCATTTACCCATGTATGGGACTCAGGTCCTTTTACCAAAAATAACCCAACTATAAATGCAAAGTTTCAGTATTCATCCTCTCTCTCTCTCTCTCTCTCTCTCTCTCTCTCTCACACACACACACACACACACACACACACACACACTTTTTGTGTGTGTTTGCCTTCACTTATCCTCTTCTCTCCCTCAGTGCTCCTTGCTGTTTCCCCTTCAACTCCACCCTGACCCCTTTCCTTGCTGTTCTCCTCCTCTCACCCCTGGCCCAGTGAGACACCCAGGGGTCCCGCCGTGCTTCATTGCAGGTAGCAGTGCTCTATGCGTCCCACCCTGGCCCCTCCACCAGGCTTGTCCCCTGCTTGCCTGTGAGGCCTCTCTGTGCTCACCTCAGCAAGTTCATATTCCTGAAGCCTTGGAGGAATCTGTGGGAACTGGATGACGTCTTCATTTCCTGGTCGGTTGAACTTGGGCAAATCTTGACAAGTATCATGTTCTTGATGACTGACCTGAGCCATATCTGGAGGGGAGCTGCTGGACAGCTGGCAGTTTTCCTCCGGAGCGGATTCAGGGAACACAGACTCATCGTCTTCCTCATCTTTCTGATTTTCTAGAAATTTCTCAAGCTTTTGCACAAGACCATCCAGTTTGCTAAGAGTCAGTTGTGTCTTCTCTTTGGTGTACTGGCCTATCCACTGATGGTGTCCATGTGGATCCCAATTAGTGATGGAGTCTGATTGGTTCGAGCCCATATCAATATCCCAGGCCAGGGTGATGCTTAGTTTGCAAAACTGTTCTGGGTCGTCCTGAATTTGGTCTCGTCTCCCCAGGAGTCTCCCTATACTGTCAGTCAGCCATGTGCCTTGGATAGGAGGGACTAAGTGGACTGAGGGACACTTGGAAGACATGTCTTCACAGGAGACTGTGTTCTCATAGGAGAAGGTGTCCTCACAGGGGTAATAGCCCACAGAGAGGCTCAGGTATGATTTGGAACTGCAGTCCTCAGTGTCAGCACAGTCGCTGCCGGAGAATGAGTCTGCCATGGAGTTCAGAGGCTCAAATGGTCTCCCTCATCTCAGGAATCTTCACAAGAAGGGAAAAATAAAAGGGATTGGTGAAAAGAAGAGGGGAGTCATGGTGCTTAAACAATAACATCCATTCCTTTCTCGATTTTGACCTATCCCACTCTGATAAAAGTTCATCCTATTTTGCAGTCTCCAATGAAGGGCAAAAGAGGCAGCCACCTCCCTTTAAAAACCTATTTCTTTGTATAACAACCATCCCTACTAAGCATCTCCACCTGATGCCTCAATCATCGATATTATTACAGTTAAAAGAAATTGTATTATAAAAGAAAAATAGCCATTGTATAACATTTGAAAAATATAAAATTTTAAAGATGAAAATAAATATTCCTATGATCCCATTGTTCAGAGATAATGATAACCATTATTAACACATTTTGGTGGGTTTCCTTATAACCTTTTTAAAAATATGTGCATGTATTTATACGTGTATATTTATACATGTATACACATTCACATAGTACATATATGGATGTGAATGTCACATCAGTTGAAAGTGAGATTATTATATTTTATGGCATAACCTGCAATAAACATGTATATGGCTATTCTGTCATTCTTAACCACTTTCTTATTAATGGTAGTTATTGTTTTAATAAATAAATCTACAGTAAGCCCCTTATCAATAAATTTTTGTCTCCCTTTTTATTCCTGTATGTGGATTTAATAGATCAAAGATCACAAATATATTAAATTCTCTAGCTAGTTGATACCACATTGCTTTCCAGATAGGTTATAATCATTTTGATGTCCACCCTCTCACCCTCTGATGGCACTTTTTTGTCCAGATTTTTTCTGTGATGCCCTAGTAAGTAAGTTGGGGGCAGGTGGAGGAGAATACATACACACACGCACGCATGTACACGTTGCACACTCTGTCATTCTCTGCTCTGGTGGCTGCCCACATAAACTGGGGATGTTCAAAATCCTTCGGATTCTGAGTCTCAGCGGCTAAAAGTCCAACTGCCAGAAGCCTGTGTTCTGGGACTGTTGGTTTCCATGGCAATACAAGGACCCAAGTAATAGAAACATGGAAATATCAAAAAGGGATAGAAAGCCACAGAGCTATCTCTTGCTGGGCTGAAGAGGGTTCCTCTTGAGGGCCAAAGGACAAAAGGCAATGGCGGTTACTTCATTTTGTCATGGAGGTGTCTAAGATGGTTCCTATTTAAAGGGAATGTAGAGCCTATTTGATGAGATGGACATAAACAGCCTAACATAGGACAAAGTGCAGCAGCAGAATTTAAAAATAAGTTCATGGGAGAACAAAAGGAAGGTGCCTCATGTAGCCAGGGTTGAGATTGGGGTGGGGGTATCAGGAAAAGCCTCCTGGAGGGGATTGCTTCTGATCTGAGTGTTTATGGGAGAGTGGAAGTTAGTGAGGTGAAAAGGGTGGGGGGTAGACCTGATGGGAGAGGGCCTTTCAAACAGAGGGGACAGCATAAGTAAGGACACCAAGGTGGGAAACAGCCAATTGTGTGGAGAGATCAAGCAGGGGTCAGTGAGATCATGGAAGCCCTTCCACCCATGTTAGGGAACTTGGAGTTTAACCTATAAACCTGTCGTTGGGTGGTGGTGTTCATTTATCATGCACTCTTCCAGGTAATTCAAAGTATATTGAAATATTTAACGTGCTTAAAGCAAAATACAACTTCCGGTGGACTTGGCAGCCTGAATGTTATTGGTTGGCTTTAATGAGAATGGAATCAGTAGGTTTGCACTGGGTTAAGGAATGAATGGGAGGAGAGGAGGTAGCAACGGTGGATAAGAGACTCTACTTGAGGAGTGCCTGCATGAGAAAGTGAGCAGAGGAAGTAGAGTTAAGGTTAGTTTCCACACCCACCCCCCAAATTAAAAAGAAGTAAAAAAATCAATCCAAGGGGAGAGTTTCAAAATATAAAAGGTTGGCTGCTCTGTTTAGAGAACGTAAGGGTGGGATCCCTGGCACGGGCAGATAAATGGGTTGGTTGTAATACAAGGAGTATGTTTTTCCATGGTATTAAAAGGAAAAAAGTGAAGATGGATACGGAAACATTTGGAGAAATGCATTGATTGTTAAGCACCACTGTTTTCTTCTTTGAGTTTTCCAGCTAGGCTTCTTTCTGCCTTATTCCTGAGATTAAATCTGCATTTTTTTTTACACCAATTCTGTTAACTGGATCTCTGTCTGTGTTCTCCTTGTTCCCAACATCTATCTTGAAAACCCCTTCAATAACATAACATGTCGTGGTCCTTCTAGAATTGGAGCTTTGCTTTTCCTTGTCTTCTTCCCCTGGGCTTTCCTGCTGCTCACCAAGCCTTCCCTCCTCCCAGGCTGCCCTTCCTTTAGCCACTATCATTTACCTTGCCCTTCCCAATGGCATCATGAAATTATTTGGGGATCTGTCAGATCATAGCTCCCCAGGGATACAGCCTTCACTGGGTTCTCAGTGGGTACTTCATGGCTAGAGGTGGTAAATTGTTCATTGTTTCCAAACATACAATTCTGAAGACAAATGTGGGTCCTCCTGTAGAATTGAAGGCTCTCAGTTGCGTAGACTAAACCAAAAAGAACCTTTTCTGTGAGCAAAATTTTTGTGGCCAGTGTAGTTATAGCAACCTCCAGTCTGGTCTAAACTGTGAGGCTATGGGAGACTGTTTCTAGGTCAATTCAGTTATTCTCAGGAAGGGAGTAGGGCATCCACTCAGAGTTTCCTAGGGATGGAATGCACGTGTGCTTTGAAAAAGCATATTCTTAAATTAACATTGCTTAGATTTGCTTTTGGTCACACTTACAAATTTTTCAAGTTTCAAATAGCATGAAAAGAAACCATAAGGTTTTTCTATTTATCACAAAGAAGCATGGCTTTACACACACACACACACACACACACACACACACACACACACACGGAAAAATCCAAGAAACACTGGTCTGACGTAAAGGTACTTCAACTCATTGGAATCTATCAATTGCTTAAGATCTTTTCGAGATATTTTTTCTATCTTTATTTCCATTAAATAAGATTACATTTAAAGTTTGCTGTGACTCTCAGGTTTTTCATGTCCCGGTTGAAATTTCTAGTTGCTGGTAAATAAGACTATTTTAGGTGACTGTTTCAGGAGTTACCCTGGTGTGATGTAGGAAATAGGCAGAGTTGGAGTTGGGGAGAAACCATCTGTACTATCCAACAGAGGCCGCCTGGCAGGTAGCCACAGACTGCTCACAACTCTCGTAAGTGATTGGAGACCAAGATTAATCCCAGGAGATGGAAGTCAGGAGCAAGATCCTCCCTAGCATTTGTGGTGCACGGACTACATGCCAGGTCCTGTTCTAAGCACTTTGTGTGTGTTTGTTTAATCCTCACAGCAACCCAGTCAATTAAGTATCATTATTTTTGCTCTGTTTTACTGACAAAGGAACCAAGGCATAAAGCAGTTATTTAACTTGCCCACAGTCCCAGATCATAAACTCTAGAACCTGGATTCAAATGTAGGCAGTCTGGCTCCAAAACCCCTACCTTCTGCAGTCTTGTCTCTCAAGAGGCTGACTGCCCATCTCCTCCCTGGAAGATTCCTGGGAGGGCTGACCCAGTCCAAAATCAAACCCATCTTCTGGTTCCTTAAAAGAAACTCCTTTGAGTGGAAGGAACAGCATGTTCTAAGATACATGGAAGAGGTGGTACACAGCACTGGCCCGAAACAGTGGCACCCACATTTGGAGCAGACGAAAATGAGCTTTAAAATAAGTATTCAGCTTCCTCTTGGGCATAATGATCTGGACCTCTCTGCTCTGGCTTTCCGGAAAAGCTCTGTGACTGCCTTCCGGACCACTGGGAGCCTAGGAAAGAATTCCTTTCCATGCTGCTGGAGTGAAGGTGAGGGGAAAGCTGTATGTTGTACTATTACCCATGGAAATGGAACACTTTGAAATACATGTAAACATTTAAGTAGGAAAAAACTGTTTTCTAGCCTGAACTCAAGTTTAGAGTGATCTTAAAGATAAAAGAGCTTAAAATGGGGGCAGCCTCAGAGAAAACTTGAAATTTTTAAATTTATACCATTTCTCTATATTTCTCTCTCTCTCTCTCTCTCTCTCTCTCTCTCTCTCTCTCTATATATATATATATATATATATATATATATATATGATCTAAAATATACAACTCAAATAGTGAAAGTCTCTGAAACTCCCCTTCTTTTCTGCCCCAGCAAAAAGGATAATCACTGTTAATAGTTTGACATATGAGGTGTGATAAAAAAAAATGATGAATGCTTAAATTAAAAATTATTACAGTGAAAGACACATTGCCATTAACCCCCCTCAAAATACTCCCCCTCGCTTCGAATACAGTTTTGCCATTGTTCGTGCCAGTTTCTGAAGCAGTTCTGGAAGTCCTCTTTCGTGAGTGTCTTTAGTTGCACTGTCATGGCTGCCTCGATGTCCTGAATCCATTCAAGATGTTTACCTTTCATGGTCATTTTGAGTTTGGGGAAAAGCCAGAAATCACACGGTGCCAGATCCTGTAAATAAGGCAGATGAGGACACACTGTAATGTTTTTATTTGACAGAAATTGCCATACCAGGAGCAATGTGTGACATGGAGCCTTACCCGTTGTGATCACAAAATACGGTGAATGCTGCTGCCAAGTGCCATCCAACGGAAAGGCAGGGATCTTCAATACGGGAAGCAGTGCATTGAACCTTAGTAACAGTGTGTGATCAAGTTCAGTCGGGTGTGAGCTACGATTGAGAGAAGGTGTATTTTAAAGTGTGCTGTAAATTATCCTCCATCATGACAATGCTCCACGTCAAAATACTCCGAAAGTCAAAATGCTCCCAAAGCCAAAATGACCATGAAAGGTCTACATTTTGAATAGATTTCAGAACATGGAGGCAGCCTCGACAGCCCAACTAAAGACACTTCACGAAAGAGGAATTCCAGAATTGCTTCAGAAAGTGATAAGAATGATGGGAT